CTGCTGCTGCAAATGCGACCGAAAATACTGGGTCGCCACAGGAGCCACTGCTCCCTCTTCGACTGGGCGATTGGTGTAGCCATGTGCCGTGATCATCTGTTCTTGCATGTCCAAGATCGTGGCATTCAACAACGCTCCAGGGACACGACGCCAGATCTGCAATGACCTCCTCTCGCTCTCGAAGAGCTCTGACCCTGCAATGTGCTTCTCGGCCAGGCTGGTGGACTCGCTCGAATCTCCTGAATCCTCCCCCGACGTTCCCTTGCTCCTGGACCGGGAGGATTTTTTCTTCTTTTTCTTTCCCTTTCGGATCTTTCGAGCTTTCTTCATGAGCTCTCTCCTGACCTCGATGTCTGGATCCAGAGCTGTGTGCTTGAAGACCTCCTTGATGCCGGCTTCCAACTGCACTCGCACCTTTGTCTTGCGCTTCTTTCCCTTCTTCTGCGGCCTCTCCTCTTCGACCTCCCTTTTCCCTTCGGGAGCTCCTGCGTGCTCGGGAGAGTATTGCACCTCTCCCCCTTTTGTCCTTTCTCCCATCTCTTGTCGTAGTCGATGAAGAGGGTCGTCTCCTCCTCCGCCAACTGCTCTCTCTCGGGAGACTTCGGCCAGGTTGGTGTGCCAGCCCTCGGCCTCCCCTCCTGGAACGTGGTAGCGGTGGCCGTGGATCAAATCCCTCGCCCACACTAGACGATCGCATGGGTCTGAGCAGATGTGCACCCGCATCTCCTGACATTGGCCTCCGAGCTCTTTCAACAGGGACTCTTGCTGGGTTCCTGTGACCCAAATCCTCCATGTGGTGTCGCCCTCGTTCACAACCACCCCACGAACCTCGCCTGCGATCATGACCGGGGCTTCCCAAAACATGCCTTCGATGACGACCTTCTGCCTTTTGTGAAGGGTGTCCAAAGCGATCCTGTTCAGGGCTTCCCAGACCGGCTCCTCTCGACCGGGAGGCTCCTCCGCCTCCCCCCGTGCAGGGCGTCTCAACACTCCTCTTCGAATCCTCCCGGGCTCCACTGCAGGCCTCCTCCGTGGCGGCATGTCCTCTACCAGTATCCCCGCTCGAACTCTCGCCAGGCGCGGAAATTGGCGTTCCGCTCGTCCTTCTTCTTCCCCTTGTTGGGTGGAGGATCTCTGTAGGGATCTCGGTAGTGGCCTTTAAACCTTTGGACTTGGCTCGAGCGTCGGTGGCTGCCCAGCTCGAGTAGCCCGGGGGTGGATGGTCTGGCTCACGTGGAGACGGTCGAACTGGCGGTGGTTTTGGTGGGGGTGGCACTGCTCTCTTCTGAGCGTTGGTAAGGCCTGAGGCACTGGATGGCACCGGATGTCGGGGAGATCGGCGGACGAGACTCCGACTGGGGGTCCGGGACTTTGGCCTTGGGCTCGTCCACTCTTTTCCGGACTCCTTTGGGGGCGAGGGCTCTTTGCCTTCGTCGTGCTTAGGGCTCTCGGGCTTGCTCGATTTTCCTCGATCTCGACGACGACGGCTACGGGAGCGACGGCCTGCTCCCTCTGAAGATCTTGCCCTCTTCTCTCTTCGGTCTCGGCGGCGACGGTCTCTCGACTTTGATTCCTTCTGGCGACTGCCTTTGTCCTTTTTCTCAGGGTTCGGAGTTGAAGTTCTATCTTTTGCGATCTCCTTGTCCACCTCGGTGTCCTTCAAGTCAGCCTCACGGGATGCACGCTCCGACTGGTCCTCCTCTTTCTTGCCAGCCTCTGTTCCGCTCCCCTCCTGTTCGGGAGCCTCAACTACGGGTGCAAACCCTTCCTCTGCCTGGGCCTTGTTCTGGGAGCTGACCGGCTCGGTCTTCACGCGAGGTTGAGCTGGATCCCCTCCCCCAGCCGGGAGAGCAGGCGAACTGCCCACGGGAGGACCAGGAGTGGCAGCTCCTGTCTCCACAGCGTCCAGCAGCTGTGAATGAACCTCCCTCAAAAGTGTAAGCCCTCTCCTCTGTACGGCTCCGGTGCACTCGGGGTCGTAGAGGAGATGCACCACGCGCCGCACAGTCAAGCACAACGCGCAGGTGCAGCTCTCGAACTCATGCACCATCCGCTGAGCCGAGAGGCTGCGGAATTCAAACTAGCGGGTTGTTCTTCCTTAAATTCGGGGCGAAGGTCATAGATTTGAAGGAGTCGAAGCCCAAGCAATTGCCACCGCATCGCCCTGCGAGAACCCCCACTTCCCAACCCTTCGGTCCCTCTTCACCAGGGAGCGGAGCGCAAAGCTACAGTGCCTTGGGAGATGGTGTTTTCTTCGAAACTCAGCTTTCGTCCGACAGCTTTCGGATCAGGCTTGCGCTTCATCAATGGCTTCATCCATGGTTTTTCAATCGGTTTGACCGTGGCATCTCGAAGGATTGCAGGGACCTTCGCTCTATCAGCGCCATCGCGAGCGCTGGTAGGGCCCCAAGACTTTCACGAGCACCGAAGAAATCGGGGTTGGCTTGGCGCCAGGCGACCAGGATGCATTGGCCAGAGACCAAAGCTACCACCCAATCAAGATGGCCCGGCCTTCAACACCTTCCAACCCCTGAGTTTCAAGAACAAAAAGGAACTAATTCTATGACTTGCTGTATTTTTGGAGCCAGACCACTGCCTCCCGGGCCAGTGGTGTCTCCGCCCGCCCTTCGCGAACGGGGGCTCCGCGCTGCCCGCTCTCCGCAAAGTCCACCGTGACCCGTTTGTACTGGATGGTCTTCACCTGGGATCGGATCGGGACGACCGGTGCGGTCCGACGGATGGAGAGGCCAACAGAGCGAACACAACGACACAAGAAGTGAAGACGAAGCTGGAAGTCTTCGGCTGGGTTGGGGGATTGATCTTCCACGCCTTCACGAAGGTGGAAGAGTCCATTCTCATCCCACATCGTGGGAGGAAAGAGTCCAAATCAGCATGTGCTAGTCCTTCCGTGTTCCCCCAATTCACTGGATGAATGGTTGGTTGTTTCATGCATTTGTTCCTTACAAATCTTGGAAACTGAAATTGAGATGAGAAGTTAGGCCTATATGTCATTGTGCCCTAGACCGATATAGATGAGTGGCTGGTCCCCCTCTTCCATTGAATTCCTACAGACGTGACCTGACTGAAACCTGCAGTACTGCCTGTTTGGCCACTATATAGATTTGTCTATGTTAGTGTACGTACCGGGCAAAACCCCTCGGCAAATCTCAAGGGCGCCGGCGACGGAGAGTTGACGCCCAGAACAGAACCGTTGACACGTCTAGCAATGAGGGTGTTCACAAACTTAGACCTCCTTATGCAAACCCTTCTGAGTCGGGGAGATCCTAGGACTTCTTTTCCGGGGGCACACAAAAATGAATACCTCTTGTAATATCATCAATCCACCTCACTACATGGTTCCTTCACCATGCATAAATCCTTTGTACATCCCATTACCAGTAACAGTGGATGATGCTTGAGGTTCTTGTTTACCGACTGCTACAGGTTTTTCAGGACATGATATGATGCCCCACGGGCCCCACGGCGGAAGCGGCTGGGCTCCAGACCAGCACCGGCTTGAACCTTGAGCCACGAGCCGAACACTCCGCACTGGGAGCGGGACACATCACCGAGCGCTAGAGGAGCCTTTGAGCTGAATTGGATCAACAAGATCGGTCCTCGGGCCATAGCAGTTGTCACTGATTATTAATATATATATATATATTATATATATATACACACATGTACATATAACTATACATGTACATATACATATACATACACATACACATATATATATATATAGTATCCTGAGATCAACGAATGATCAGCAAAGTCAACCTCCAGTCCAGGTGGCCGCGTGCCCTACCTAGCAGGACTGAAGAGTCTGGGTTTACATCCAGCTCCTGGGCTCTGACGTGTTCACTCCGAGTTCCAACAGCTTCCACCAAGCAAACCATGCAGCAATTGATGTCCGGAATCATCCAGGGATTCATTGACCTCTTGGTTCTTTATGAGGACTGGAGTATCCCCTCTATTTCATCAACCAATGCTGGAGCCATCTTTGCCATCTATAGGCATCTTTCCGAATGCCAACCGAGGCCTCCGGCTGGCTCACCTTGTCTGGGCCCAAGAGCAACTGTTGACCCACGCGGATTCGACCTGCACCTCGGGCGGTTTCGCAGTGTCTCACCGCGTGTCACGTTTTTCGGGAAGAAAACGAGCTCAGGGGATTCGGTGAAGCGGAAAACCGAACAAGGCGGTTTGGACGCGTGTTTTCTTCTTGCAGATTCGACCCACACCAGGTTTTGCTGGGACCAGCAGATACTTGGCATCAAAGGGGCAAACAAGAGGCAGACATATGCAGACATAGTCTTTAGAAAATTTTGGCTAGAAGGATTGACTTTTCTGATACTCGAAGCATTTGCAGGGGCAAATCACGTGCAAGATGCTAGCCATGCCCGATGATCCGCGCCTGATCGATTGATCCCTAAATCCCTGACAAACATTTGTGTATATACTATATACTGTAAGTTGATCGCTTCAGTTGAGTGCTAAGAAAAGGCCTTGGTTCTGTGTTAGTTCAAGAATATGGGACAAAACGGAATACTTGGACCTTCAAGATCCCCATATCTTCCCAGAGAAAACGCACAATTAGTTCTCTCGCTGTGTTTCTGCGTCTTCTGGGTTTGTATAAGTACAGTAAGTGCTTCTGCATGACTCCAACACGCAGCTACCACTGTTTTCCTCCACCAGCTGCCACTGTTTTCGCGCTCCAAATTCGCCTCTTGGACCTCTCGGTCGCCTCTCTCGGTCCAAGGGCGAGGCCCGCTCCGGAAATGACGGGTGCATCGTGGATGTTGAATCGTTCTGACGGATGCATCTCAATTCTTCAGAGACACGCCGCGTACAGGCCACCCAGCCGAACCCCGGTCCTTTTATGTTTCCTCGGCTTCAAAAGGCAAAGGAGAGGACAGGGTTTGAAACATCTTGCTGCCCTTCAGGTGAACATGCCACAGCTGCGCACAAGTCCATCTTTGGGACCTATTTCTATATGCAGCTTATTCGGCTGCCGCACGCCTCAACTTGCAGCAAAATGATTTTCAAATAGAGTTCTGTCCCTCCTACTGGAGATGTCTCAAAACCGAGGAAGCATGGGCTGGTGCTCAACATCAATGAGCTGCTTCTTAGTGACCCTTGCTTCGGAGAAGCATTGAAATCCATGGCAAATTGATGTTGGAGTTCATGACATCTAACATGTCCGCTAGCCTCCGTCTATCCCAGCGTTTTGCAAGGGGCAAGGTGCCCCAGGTGGCCTTCAGCTGCTGGTGTCTTAGCGGATCCGGTTTTGGGGGTGCTTCTTCAGATGCTCAATGTGAGCTTCCCCACTTTCTTGGTCACCATTTGAGGTCGGTGTAACTCCGTCAGTACGTGTGTCATGTGTCACAGCAAAAACCACCCAGAAAGACGTACTTCGAACAGCAAAGCTCCACCCAGTACAAACCTGTTCGTGCGTCCACAAGTCTGTTGATCCCTCCCATGTCACTTATCCAAGTCACTCATCCAGATCCCCCACGTGCTCAAAGGGCCGGAGATTTTGGATGCGCCCATCGTCGTCGTGGGAATTGCCCACCGTGCCCACCTGGGCGGGTTTCGACATGTCTGCTCAAACCGGAGACCTTTGGGTCTGGATGTTCGGCCTAACTGCTGCTAAGACCTCTGGATCTAAGTGCTCAAAGTCTAACTAGAAAAAGCAAAAACCTGGAAAGAGCACGGTCTACATCTGGATCTAAGACCTGCATCTGTGCCCCAGGTCGGGGCATTGGTATCTTATCCCAGCAAACAACAACACAAACTGTGCTCTAACTACCACTTTCTCTAATCCGTTGCCAGTGTCGGGTAAGCGAAAATCTCAAACAAACACTCTAGCCAAGTCTGGGCTTTCTAAGTCTCTCACGTTTCCTCCCCACCTGTTGTTCCAAGCGCAGCAGGAAGCGCAACAGGATCATGAGCGACAGCAACAGCACGGCCGTGCCCACAGTGTTGGTCACCTCTGGCCGTTCATGTCGACGGTGGGGCACTGTCGACACTGCAACAGCGTCTCTCATGTGGCGAACTGTGGCGAACACCTGACGAGACGTCTTTCAGGACCTCTGAAGCACGGCCCAGACATCTGAGTTCTGGCGTAGCCAAAACGTGTTCAAAACCAAGGTGAAAGAGCACATCACCTTTCCGTTCATGTGTTCTTTCCTTCAGGACCCCCAAAATGTGCATGTAGGATGGAGGCCATCGCTCTTAGGTCGGAGGCCATTCCTATAAGGACCTCAAAAGAAGATTGCTGTTTAAAATAACATTTAAGTTAAGTAGCTACTAGGAACAAGAAGCTACTAGTAACAAGTGCATCGCTTCTAGTAACAAGTGCCTTACTAGTAGTAACAAGGTTCGCTACTAGGGGCTCCTGGCCGTACTACTAGGAGCAAGTAGCTACGAACGGGGCTCCTTTCACCAGACACTCTCGGTCCTCCGAGCCGCGGCTCCCGCGCAACGGGAAACGCCTTCGGTTTGAAGCCGCCCATGCTTCGGTTTCCACGCTGTGTTGGCACCGAGGCCGAGTGCAAGGTATTTGATGAGGTCGTGTCCATGCTCGAGAAATATAGATCAACAAGCAAATGGTGGCGATCCCCTATTGGTGAAGGTGGTGTTGGTTGTCCAATACGCATCTCTGTCAGTAGTCTTGAACATGTTTGAATACATTTCGCTGAGTCAGAGATACTACATCTTCGTCTTCACATTGACAAGATTTGAAGGGATTCCCATCCAATCTTGCTGCCTGGCTACATACCCTGAGGGGTAAACCCACAACAGACAGCAGGAGGAGCCGAAGTAAGCCACGATGCTCACGACAAAGGCATAGTAGATCGACATTTGCTCATCCTGCACGGCTGCACGGTGGCAGATCATGCCCTTCGTGCTTCGGGATACTTGTGCCAGAAACAAAATGCAAAGCAGAATACTCAAAAATCCAAGGATGCTCATCTGTATGCTCATACTGCTTTCGTTTCTCTAGCATGATCTTTGTTTGGTAAGACACCTCTCTGGCCCCAAGCGTAGCCCAAATTTGTGGCGTACCCCACCAGCTTGGCCGACTTCGATGGGAACGCTTCCACCAGCGCTGCTCTCCCCAGCTTCGTTGAAGTTCGGATCTCATGGGTTTGATGGTTGGCATAAACCCCGGAGCATCGAAGTATGGCGGCGTCTGCGAAAAGCCGAAGTCGCATCTTTCAGATCGATGGCAAAAAGCCTTCATGTTTGCTTCGTGCACAACATGTTTCTGAAGCGAAAAGTCCGAAAAGGTGCCTCCAAGCAGGTTTTGGGCGGTAACGCCGGGTAACGCTTCAAACGCTGCAGCGTTGCCGGTGGGCGCGCTGCAGCGTGACCGCCAGCGAGGGGGGTCAACCTTGCTATTCGGACTACTGTAACAAGGGTTTACCCACAAAAGCCTGGAAATAGACAAATCGTAGAGGCAAAGGGGTTTCCCCGGGTAAACCCCTTGAAGCGGAGAGCGCGACGCGGCGTGATGACAGGCGACACCACCGGAGACACCACCTGGATAGATGAATGTCGTGACTTTAGATGTCAAAAGTGCCTGCAGAGTTTCAGAGTACCTTGTTTTACATCAAAAAAAATATGCCATCTGGATAGATGATGATAGATGTACGCCTTGTTGGCCTTCAAATCTGCCACTGTGCCGGCCGAAACAACGCAACTGGAGAGTAGTGGCCCTGACCCTGAGCGCCCTGGTTGGTTGTCCTTCAAGAGGGTCACCGTGTCATGGAAGGAGCTCATACCGTCCGGCCCACGCAACGCATTTCCAGGGCCCCAGGTGCAAACCAGCACCGTCCAGGTGACGATGCAGAGATCCAGACTCAAGCAGAGTGTAGTGAAGGCCAAATAGCTATACCTAGAAGCAAAGCACAAAGATCCAAAGAATGAGTAGCCTAGGCCTAGACCAGTCTAAGTTACCGTCACGGTTGCATATCACATCCATCAGATCAGAGACAAACTGTTGAAGACAGCAGCATAATGAGCAGACCAATTGACTATGCAAAGCTCAGCTCTGCGACCACACAGAGCCCAATGCGGGGACTGAAAAACTCTTCGATTGGTCGGGAGGTGAGCAATTGGACACCGTGCTGGTGGTGTCCTTTCTCGCGGACACGATCCCGCGAAGAAGGGACCAACCTATCCAGCCGATCACGAAGAAGGGATCTCATACGCAAGATCACCTGACCTCATGCTCTCGCGATGGCCTCCAACCTAAGAGCGATGGCCTCCAACCGATGGCCTCCAACCTACTAGCGATGGCCTCCAACTCACATGCAATGTTTTGTCGTTCACCTCTTTCCGTCTGTTTGGGCCTAAATAGTCCAATTACTCAAACGCCATCCACGTCCACCGGTAGTTTCACCCCGTGAAGCCGTCCCTTACTACGCCCCGCTCCACGCTCTCCCCGCTCCACGGCTCAGCGACTCTAGCACAGGATGCGTGCCCTCGGGGATCTCTCTGGTGAGTTGTGCCAGGGCAAAGCCCGCCAGGATCACAGTGGTGCCACCCCAAATCCAGTAGTTGTTGGTATAGAAATCCAACTCCTCACCAAATCCGGAGAAATGGAGCTGGAAAGCGTGGAAAGTGTTTTTTGAACGACGTCTAAAAGTACTTTACTTCGAGTGATCCCCACCATGACATTTCAATCATTTGTCTTGATGCCATAGTGAGAAGCATGTTGCCATGGTCGTGAGTATTGTAGTTCTCGATTTTGCTTGTGGGTCCTCGGGTTGTGTGTTTGTGGTTGTGTGTTTGTGGTTGTGTGTTTGTGGTTGTGTTTGTGGTTGTGGTTGTGGTTGCGTGTTTGTGGTTGCGTGTTTGTGGTTGTGTTTGTGGCTGTGTGTTTTGTGATTGTGGTTGTGGCTGTGTGTTTTTGATTGTGTTTGTGGTTGTGTGTTTGTGAGTGTGGTTGTAGTTGTGGTTGTGGTTGTGGCTGTGTCTCTGTGATTGTGTCTTTGTGATTGGTGTTTGTGGTTGGTGTTTGTGGTTGTGGTTGTAGTTGTGTGCTTGTAGTTGTGTGTTTGTGATTGTGTGTTTCTGGTTGTGTTTGTGGTTGTGTGTTTGTGATTGTGTATTTCTGGTTGTGTTTGTGCTTGTGCGTTTGAGGTTATGTGTTTGTGGTTGTGTGCTGTGGTTGAGGTCCGGCAGGGAACACTGGGCGCGGATGGTCGTGGTTGAGGTCCGGCAGAGAACACTGGGCGTGGATGGTCGTGGTTGAGGTCCGGCAGGGAACACTGGGCGTTGAGGTCCGGCGGAGGAGGACGAGGAGGAGGAGATGGGGCTGACATAAAATCTAACAACCCTGACAGGTGGGGAAAAAGAACACATCCGCGGTTCCGGAAATCTGTGAAGGGGGGTCTTTGGAGAGAGGCAGTTCTGTGAGTTGACTTCAGTGGTCTTTTTTTGTCAATATTGGACCCATCATTGAAGTGTGATAGTATGTTGAAGAGGTCCTGGCATTACTACTAGGAACAAGAAGCTACTAGTAACAAGGGCATCGCTACTGGTAACAAGGGCATTACTACTAGTAGAAAGACTTTACTAGTAACAAGAAGCTGTGGTTCGAGTCTGGGTTCTTGACTGAAATTGGAAAGTTCATCCACTATGCACACCACGCGACCCCCAGGCCCGGAAGGTAGCGACTTCGGGAGACCGAGTCGACAGCCGTCCTTTTGTCGTACCGAGGCTTGTTGGAGAGTCACATCTGACACCACGCGGTTCTTGTGGATCGTCAGCATGACGCCCTGCCAGCCATCATCCGCCAGCTTCAGCGGTTGACTATCAGGCGAATACGCAGACCAGATGAATGTGTGAACATCTCTAACAGTCAATATCTGGGTTGGTTGATATGATTCTGTCACAATCCAAGATTCTGCTGCAAATGCTCCTCGCGAGTCTTTTCAGGCTCATCCCTTTGGAAAGCGTTTTGGAATCCAAGCAGGTCGAATTCCGTGTGTTTCTTCCGCGATGCATGCTTTGTCTATGCTCTTCCATGGCTGCGTCATCACGAAACTACGTTGAGTTGACCAGCACGAGTTAGAGCCGTGTCCCAGTTCCTTATGTTCGAAAAACTCCCCGTCACGCATCGCTTTTTGATGTCGTGCACCCGGCACCATGTGCAGGAAGAAATAGAACTAACATGTAAAAATAACACGAGCCATCAGTTTCGCCTGCCAATCCGATCCTGGTCCTGACCAAACATCCGATCCCAGCTGCTACAGATCCACCAAACAACGGGGTTTTAAGTGATAGTTCAAACTGAAAATCACACATCGAAAAAGGCCAGGCACCAGCGGCTCGGCACGGACTCGGGAAAAGGTCCAGTTCAGCTCGCGTGTCCGAAGTCGCTGGGCTCCCCCACGGACCACTCCACCCACAACGAGTCCAACACCTGGCCACCGCTGACCGTGCTGACGACCCCGCCGCGCGGCACCAAGAGGGGTCCTTTTCTTCTGGGCGTCACCGACTCCAATGGTTCTCCCTCCGCGGTTTGGTGGTTTTCATGGTGGTTTTCATGCTATCTCACTACAGAAGTGGTTTTCGAGCACTTGGGGGTGCCGACTTGAAGAGGTGAAAGGGTTGGGATGAGTCAGGCATCTGACTCTCAGGGTCACTTCACTTCCCCGAAACTGGCCACCTTGGAGCTTTCTCAGTTTTATCACCATGCACCACCTGTGCACCCCACATTTACACATGACCATCTCAGCAGCTTCACAAACTTGGAAATGACCACCACTGGACCACTTCATGAACTACTTTTCCTCAGGAGACACCATCTTCCAACGCATGGAACCATACATCGTCGGACGGCGTTCTCTGAACAGGCCATCGGACTCGCCCTGTTGCCCCTTCGAAAAGGTCCATCTCGAGCGATCAAAACCGCCCCTCCAACGATGGTTTTCCGATCCAAAACCGCACATAGATGCACATGGTGCTATTTCTATTTCTAAAAAAATAGGAACCATCTGGCTATGTTTAATAATAGAAATTAGGAAAAATCGGAACTTCACACCTGGCACCACATAGATGGAGTCGATGTGGAACTCCGCTGGGCCTCCGGAAAGTGGAACTCCGCGGTGTCGGTGTCGAACACTGGGTCGGTGTTCAGATGGGGTGGGTGTTCACCGCCACCAGGCGCACGTTAGGGTTCTCGGCAGCGAAAGACTTCGTCCATGGTTAGGGGATGATCTTTGGACCTTTCGCAGGGTGCTAGGATGCGCTAGGAGGCCTGTGGCGCGCTGGTCTCACACTCCACAGTCCGTCAACGAGCTTGTCCGTTGAATTCCAAAGATAAAGAAAGGCCATGAAACGCACAAGTCTGCCTTGATCCGCACATGAAACGCATGGACTCTTCAACTTCACCACCTCCCCTCCTGAGCTCGCATCCGAGCCCCGACTCCGAGCCGCTGAGCCCCAGGCTGCTGGGCGGTCTAAAGAGGCCACTGTCCTGGCGGGCGACGCATGGCCATCGCGCCGAGAGCATCGCGCCGTGAGCAATGGAGTGGATGTGTTGGGTGCAACACAGTGCTTTTGGGGGTATATCGGTACATCCTTAAACGATGAAAATCCTATATGAATCATTTCTATATAAATCCTTCTAGCCTTGGGCCCGAGCACCTTACAGTGGTTGGGCTTAGTCAGCGGATCGCCGGGTTCGGTTCACCCATGGAGACCATCATGTTTGGGTCGCCCCCCACGGCCGAAGGGGAGGTTTGGTGTGGGGTTGTGCGGCTCCTGGGCTGCATGGAAGATGATGAGGACATGCGGCAGGGGCTCCTGCTGCCTTGGGGCACGGAGGCCCTGTTGCTTGGTTGCGAATTTCCTGAGGCCTGTGATCATTGGTCGCTCTATCATTGGAAGGTGACATGCCTGGAACCTTTGTGTTTGCGACCTGAGTCGCACGGTGCGGCTCTCCCTCGCGCCTTGGCGGTTCAGTCGTTTTCTTCTTTGATAGTTGAACTATGTGCTGGATCGGGGGCGATGGGGCTTGCTGCCTCATTTGCTGGCGCGGAAGTGGCCATCAGCATCGACGATTCCCCCTATGTCGCGGACCATTTGAGGGGCAACTCGCATGGGATTGTGTTGGAGGCCTCTTTGGGCAGCATCCAGACCATCTATGAGGCACACGTGCACCTTGGGGACAGGTCTGCTACGGCCATGCTTGGCTTTCCATGCCAGCCATTCAGTTCCCAAGGACTTCAATTGGCCGAGAACGATGCTCGCTTTCTCACTCTCCTTCATGCTCTTCGTGCAGCTTGGTTCCTCCCCATTCAGGCTTTGATTGCCGAATGTGTGCCAGCGGCCGGTCAGAATGCCACTGTGTTGAAGGCCTTTCAGCTACTGAATGAGGCACGCCAATGGGAACAGATCCAGTATGAGTTAGAAATGGCCAATGAAACGGCTTCGTTGGTGGGGTCTTTGTGCACCTTCAGCTTGGATGGCAGGGCCATATCACCCCTGGCCGGTTGACTCCACCTGTCCTACGATTGGGTCCCTGTTGCGTTCTTGGCCAGTTTGGGCAGTGGATGAGGAGCAGGACCTCCTTTTGACCGAGCGTGAACTTCAGGTCTTTGGTGATGCCTTATATGGAGATGACCAACGTTGGTTTGGACCTCAACATACCTTGCCGACCCTCCTCCATTCCTATGGGGCTTGGTTTGTTGCCTGCCCCTGTGGATGTAGGGGCACGGCCATGTCTGAGACGGCACTTCAAGATCGTGGAGTTCGAGGATTCTGTGTCACATCTTCTTTGTCTGGTCAGCCAAGGCTCCTACACCCTGCCGAGGCTGCGCTCTTCGTGGGCCTGCCTGGTTCGATGCGCTTCATGCATGGTCCTCGGGATTCGCTCCCGCTCCTGGGCAATGTCGCCTCACCTCTCCAAGCTCTTTGGGTCTATTCGCAGCTCCTAGCTTCGGTGCACAAGTTCCTACCAGACTTCTTTGCTCTGTCTCCCAAGATCGTTCTGGAGCAGTTCAAGCTCGAATTGCTGCGCCAATTTCATCAATGCCATGACATTCAGGTTCCGTTGGCCAGTATTACTTTGGCGGCAGAGGATGGCACGCAGGTTTCGCTCCTGGCTCCTGGGAACATCCTGGTTGCTGACCTTATCAAGGCGGAACGGCTCCAACTGCACCCTGACATGGATTGCATCATTACAGATGGTCGGCGGACGCTCTCTCGAATAGAACGACTCATACCACTTCCTCCTGGCAGGAGCTACCATGTCAAGACTGATGGGCCTTATGCCAAAGTTCATCCTGCTGAAGTGTTGGTCTTGGCTTTACACGATGACCATGCCCATTGCATTGAGTTTCTTCATGCTGGACAGTTCCTCTTTGAGGCTCTGGACCGCACCTGCTTTGAAGGTGCTTTGCTATGTGTTGACTCGGTGGGCCGTCTCTTTCCACGAGATGCTCGCATCTGGCAGTCCCTCCGGCTTAAGATCCTCTCTCAGGATACCTTCCCTACTTTGCGGACAACTTCCACCTTGCCGGCATCGTTTTCACGCCAAGAACGGCCTCCCTCGGCAGGCTCTGCCATGGGCCCTGGACTTTCTTCCACGGCGCCTGGACTTGGTGCATCTGCCATTGATCATGGTATGGCCAGTCTTCTTTCTGGTCTCCCAAAGCTGGAACAAAAGCCTATTTGGCTCATCCCTGTCGCTGTTGCCACCCGCCTGGCTGCTGGTGAGCTCGCTGAGATTTCGGGTCTTCTATCCATCTTCCGCAGGAGTACCATTCAAGAGTGCTTTGGCATCTTTGCTGCACATGGTCACTGGGCCTTGATTTGGGGCCGCCGAGCAGGGTCTGGACTTCATTGGACTTACTTTGATCCGCTCTCCGATGGACTTCGTTCAGTGGCTTTGGATTTGGCTGCTACCCTCTCGGCATACTTGGGCGGCATCCTCGGTTCCTTTGAGCACTGCACTCTCTATCACCAGGCGGATGATTTCTCTTGTGGCACTTTAGCCCTTCTGCATATGGCTTCTGCTCTTGGACTTCCTGGGCTCCTTGATGGGCTCCACATCCAGGAGCTGCACTTTTGGCTTCTTATGCATTCGTCCTCCAATGATCTGGTTGCACGAGGACCACAGGACACTACCACTTCGAAGGCTCTTGCGGATCTCTTGGTGGGACATGGAGTCTTTCCTCATGAAGGCCTTGAGCGAGCTAGGGTGGTCATTGCAAAGCTGGGGACACCGGCAGTCCAAGCTGCTTTGAGCAGCAAGAATCCTTGGGCGACCCTCAAGGAGAAAGCTTCCCAGCCCGGCTCACAGATCCGCCTTGTCACCAGGGAGGAATTGGAGGCACAAATCACTGCCCGGGCCAAGAGCAAACATGGCGCACACATTCCGAATTACAAGAACAAGAAGGCCAAAGCCTCAGCTCCCCGGCTTACAGTTGACTCCATTGACATCCACCTCCTTGCTTTGGATGCGGACCACTTCCATGATGCTGATGGGGAACCTATCTCTCACATCCCTTTCAAAGATGTGCAGGTCAATAGCCGGGGCATTGCTCTCTGCTCACCTCAAGAAGCCCGGCCTTTTGTGGACATGGTCAACAGCATGAGCACGGATGCTCTGGGCCTTCTCGTGGTGCCTCCTCTTCCGTCTACGGCTTGCTGTGCCGCTCGCATCCTTTCTATGAGATTTCCAGCCGTGTATGGTCCATCTTTGGAGCCTATGTTGGTTCAGGGCACCTTGATCAGCCTTGGCGATGTCGACATCCATCGCCATCACGGAAAGCCCAGTACCCGGTTGGAAGTGGTCCAGACTTCCGTCTTCAAGGTCGTCGTCTACAAGGACGAACTGGTGCATAATTGGACGGACCTGGTCAATCAGCCTATTCGGTGCATCGTTCAGATGCTTCCCATCCTGCAGCTATGCAAAGGCTCGGGCTGCGGACCTGATTGCATTCGGTTCCACTCACCGGTTGAAGAGGAGTTGGACAGTGTCATTCAGGAGGTGTGGGCTCGCAAGTTCCTCTCCATCACCGGCAAGGTAGTAGATCCTGAGCTTTCCGACATCTTTCAGTTCTACCTCCGGGTTGCACGGTCAGCCAGCTCTCAAGTTCTGCAGATTAATGTGGATGGGATCTACATGGAGCCCCGCAAGCCTGATCTCACCGGCACTGACCCGGCCTACTCAGTTGTCTGGTTGCCGAAGGCTGACAAGCCAACCGCCATACGGGCGTTGAAGTCCTTTGAAGGGGCTTTGGCTTTGATTCGCGTCAAGGATCGCTATGGAGTCCGAGTTGCGGCGAAAGATGCAGCAGCAGGCTACAAGGCCCTCCGTCCTGACATGCCCTTTGTTGACGTCACTGTCACCAAGGTCTTTCGTCTTCACCCTGTTCCGCATGGGGTCCAGAGGCATGTTCTGCTGAAGCTCTTCAAGGAGTGGAATTGGGCCGCAAAACCCATGCAACCAGTTCGTGGCTCTGCTGCTGGTGCTGCTTGGGAGGTTGGCGCATCTTCCAGCCCACCTAAGCCGATCATGCCTGGTTTCGGTACGGACATTCTGATTAGCGAAGTTCGAGACCGCTCTACCACTACTACGGACATGCCTTCGGTGATCTCTTCGTGTGACCCTCGCAAGTTGTCCACAATCAAGGCAGTCAAAACTGATCGTTCTTTCAGCGAGGATCCCTGGACCAAGCAGGGCTCCGATCCTTGGGCCAAATGGGCTGCTCCTACAGCCAGCGCGGTGGCACAGGGTGCTACCAGTAAGAAGCAGATCCAGGAGCTAGAGTCACGCCTTCAGGCTACGGTCCAAGATGCAGTACGCACACAGCTCGAAGACCATGCTTCTGATGCAGCGATGTCCTCTGATATCGACCTACATGCCTATCAACAGACTGCTGATCAGCGCTTTCGGGTCTTGGAAGCCGGTTTGGGAGAATTGAAGGCACAGGGAGATCAGTTTCGCAGCTGGTTCAATGAGGTACACACTGGCATGGATCAGATGGGCAAGCAGGTGGCCACATTGCAGAGCTCCACTGACAAGCTATCGGCCACCATTGACCACTCAATCACCTCGGCCTTTGACAGCCGCTTTTCGCAATTGGAGGCCATGCTCAGCAAAAGGTCTCGCACTGAGTGACTATCACAGCCCAGGCAGGGGCTGGCTGCCCCTGTGCTGGGGGTCATCTTGCTTTGGTCCTTGAGTCATACGCTCTCTCTGGGGTGTGGAGAGAGCTCATCAATTACCGTTCTCACTGGACCTGATGGATTCTATTTGGACTTCATCACAATCTATTTCATGGGCCGATGGATTTTGCTGGGGTTGGCTCTGCATTGTCTTGCCCTCTGGCTTCTTGCTGGTCCCTTCCTTCGCCGTGGCCTTCTTCAGCTGTGGCACTACCAAGGCTTTCTACGCCTTCAATCCCTATCTGCTGGCCTTGTCTATGACAGAGACCGTTCAAAGGCTGACACTCTTTGTTTCCCTTC